TTCTGTGTATCCAAGAAAGAATCCAGGACTTTAAGGCAATCCACTGAGCTGGCCAGAACCAACTCTTGAGGGAGTCTATTCCACATTTTCACAGCTCTTACTATAAAGAAACCTTTCCATGTCTGGAGATTACATTCTTTTCCTCCAGACATAAAAAGTGTCCCCTTAAATTGTCATCTATAACTTAATGTAAACAACTGCTGAACTGTACACATCAGAGATAATGATGAATTGTACTTTTGTTCTCTAACTAAATATGTTAAACAAAAAAAACAGTAGATTTGTTCGTCAAGGACTTCTTTCCCTTTGCAATAGCTTTAGCAGGCGCCTGGAAAGTAGACATGTGCAAGACAAAAAAAATGTGTTTAGTTTTTATTCGAAATCTAACAAATTTCGTGTAGTTGGATTCGTTAAATTCGTTCAATTAGTTTTCGGGATTCGTATCAGTAAATCGTATTCTAATTCAATTCGAAAATGTTTCGACCAAATTTGAAAACTCATTCACATTTGAAATTGGTTCAACCGAATTCAAAATTGAATTAACAAAATTCGAAAAGTAATCTGAAATCGAAAAGATTTCAACCGAATTCGGAAACATTCAACTGAATTTGAAAAATTAAGTTGGCCATACATGTGTAGATTTGAAAATAAAAAAAAAAGCAGCTACAAAAACTGACTGACTTTTAAAAAACGGACACTACTTTCACACTGAGGAGTTTTTGAAGCGTTTTTGCGTTAAAAAAAGCACCTGAAAAGCTTAAGAAAAACACTTCCCTATGTATGTGAATGTATATCTACAGATGCAGTTAAACACAGCAGTTGAACTAAAGCATGAGAACTTAAGCAGCAGGAAGACACAACAACAGCAAGAAACTCTACTGCACGCTGGACAGACTGCAAGCAATCACCCTGGGAAACCTCTCTTACATACCTGAGTCCCACTCCGTGTACCTTTATATAATACGCCCCCTCTTCTCCTTATCATATTACTATCCTCTGTTCCCAAATCTCATTTCTTTACCCCTCTGCTCCACCCCAAAACTTGTACATCTCTCCCCTCATTGCTATCATCTCCCTACTACTGCTCTCATCACCCCCCCAAAATGCCTCTTCTACTCCTCCTTCTCATTTTCCTCTCCTCCGTTCCCAAAATCCATTCACTATATCCCTCTGATCCTCCTAAACATTTGTATATTGTGTCCTCGCTGCTTCCTTCGCCCCTCTACGGCACCCACCACCTCCTCCTATTACTCCACTCTCCCTCTGACCCGAACACCTCCACTAGTAGTCTCTCACGCTCCTGCACATCCCGCTCCCATGCCACCTTTCTCACCCTTCTCCTCCTCCTAGCCGCGGGGGACATCTCACCGAATCCTGGCCCTCCACCACTTCCCTCACCCGCACAACACCCTCCCACCTCCACGTCACCGCCACAATCCCCGCAACCTAGTATCTGTCGCCCTGCTCCCCCTGAAATCTCCCCCCCCCGTTTTCATGTGCACTCCTGAACGCCCGATCGGTGTGCAACAAGCTTACCGCCATCCACGACCTCTTTGTCTCCCGCTCCCTCAACCTCCTAGCGATCACGGAAACCTGGATCCAGCCCACTGACTCTACCTCCCCTGCTGCACTCTCCTATGGAGGTCTCACCTGGACCCACTCACCCAGACCTAACGGTTGTAAAGGTGGGGTTGGTCTGCTCCTGTCACCGCAGAGCACCTTCCGAGTCCTCCCAAACCCCCCCTCCCTATCCTTCTCCTCCTTCGAGGCCCACTGCGTCAGACTATTCTCCCCAACCCCCCTGAAGATTGCTATGATATACCGGCCTCCTGGATCCATACCCCGCTTCCTGGATGACTTTTCCTCCTGGCTACCCTTCTTCCTCTCCTCTGAGCTACCCACCATCATTCTTGGGGATTTCAACATCCCTGTCAACCTCGACAACCCGGACACAGCCCGTCTCCTCCACTTAACCTCCTCCTTTGCACTTGCACAGTGCATACAATCCACCACCCACTCCGACGGTAATATTCTTTATCTTGTCTTCTCCAACCGCTGCGCTCCCCACAACCTCACTAACACCCCCTTTCCTCTCTCTGACCACAACCTGATTACCTTCTTTATCTCCTCGTCCTCCAACGCCTACCCCTCCAAATGTCACACTACTACCAGCCGTAACCTCTGCAACCTTAACCCTGCCCCCCTCCACTCTGCAGCTGATCAACTCCATGACAGCATCCTCCTCCTGTCCTGCCCCGACTTGGCTATGACTGCTTACAACAACGTGCTGTCAACAGCCCTTGACTCACTAGCGCCTTTAACCACACGCAACATCAGACCCCGACCGCTCCAGCCCTGGCAGACTGATCACACCAAAACCCTCAAACGACACAGTCGTGCCCTGGAGCGACTATGGCGCAAAACACAATCCCAACAAGCCTTCACCCACTACAAATCTGCCTTCCGCACCTACACCTCCTCCCTCCACGCAGCCAAACAAGCCTACTTCCTGACCCTCATCAAGACCCTCTCCTCCAATCCTCGCCAACTCTTCTCCACCTTCAACTCTCTACTCTCGCCACCCCCCCCTCCACCCAGCACCTCACTCACCGCCCTTGAGATTGCCAATCACTTCAAAAACAAGATTGACACAATTCGCAAGGACATTGCCGCAACTCACACGCCCTCTCAACCTGTCCCCTCTCACACAGCTACCCCCTCATCCCCCCTCCCCCTCGACAATACCCACAGGGACTTCGTCACTGCTCAAACTCCCTCCAACCCCGTTCCCCCTCACTCAGCTACCCCCTCATCACCCCTCTCCCACGGCCCCACCACTGCTCTGACCTCCTCTTCCACCCCACCCTACATTCCTCATACTGAAGCTCCCCCAACACCTTACTTACTACCATCGAGGAAGTCTCCAAGATCCTCTCTGATGCCCGCCTCACCACCTGCCCCCTCGACCCTATCCCCTCACAATTCCTACGACCTCCCTCCCCCTCCATCCTACGCTCCCTCACCCACATCTTTAATCTCTCCCTCTACTCCGGCACTTTCCCTCCCCACTGAAGCATGCACACATCACCCCCATACTTAAAAAGCCCTCCCTGGACCCCAATGACCCGAACAACCTCAGACCCATCTCCCTGCTCCCACTTACATCTAAACTCCTCGAGCGCCTCGTCTACACCCGCCTATGCTCTCACCTCAACGACAACAACCTCCTCGATTCCCTACAGTCTGGCTTCCGTCCCCTACACTCCACCGAAACCGCCTTACTCAAACTCTCCAACGACCTTCTAACCGCCAAAGCTAATGGCCACTATTCAGTGCTCCTACTCCTTGACCTCTCTGCGGCTTTCGACACAGTTGACCACCCCCTCCTCCTCAAAATACTACACTCCCTCGGCCTCAGAGATTCTGCTCTCTCCTGGCTCTCATCCTACCTGTCACAACGCTCTTTCAGCGTTACCTATAATGCTACCACCTCCCCCTCACTCCCCCCTCTGTTGGGGTCCCTCAAGGCTCTGTCCTCGGGCCCCTTCTCTTCTTCATCTACACCTCCTCCCTTGGCCAACTCATACACTCTCACGGCTTCAACTACCACCTCTATGCCGACGACACACAAATCTATCTCTCAACCCCACACCTCACCCCCTCGGTCTCTGCCCGAATCACACACCTACTGAGTGACATATCAGATTGGATGTCGCTCCACTTCCTTAAACTGAATCTCTCCAAAACCGAGTTTCTTGTCTTCCCCCCAGCCCGAACCCCACCCCCCATTGACTTCTCCATCACATCCAACAACGCCAATATCAAACCCGCCCTGCAGGCCAGAGTACTTGGTGTCATTCTGGACTCCAACCTATCCTTTCCAGCCCCAAGTCCAATCTTTAACAATCTCGTGCAGACTCCACCTCCGCAACATCGCCAAAATCTGCACGTTCCTAACCCCAGAAACCACTAAACAGCTCATCCACTCCCTCATCATATCACGACTCGACTACTGCAACTCCCTCCTCACTGGCCTGCCGCGCCGCTGGCTATCCCCGCTTCAGTCGATCCTGAATACGGCTGCCAGACTCATTCACCTTTCCAACCGCTCCGTTTCCGCCACCCCCCCTCTGCCAATACCTCCACTGGCTTACGATTGCACAACGGATAAAATTTAAAATCCTAACACTGACGTACAAAGCTGTCCACCATACTGCCCCGAACTACATCACCGACCTAATATCCAAGTACCGCCCAGCACGCATACTCCGCTCCTCACAAGACCTCCTTCTCTCTAGTTCCCTGGTCTCCTCCTCCCATGCCCGCCTCCAGGACTTCTCCAGGGTGTCACCCATCCTCTGGAACTCCCTTCCCCAACCCATCAGATTATCACCTACTCTCCTCTCCTTTAGGCACACCCTGAAAACTCATCTCTTCAGGGAAGCCTACCCCCTGCTAACTTGACCGACCTCCTCCACTCTTCCTACCACTCCATCCCCCACAGCTATCTCCTCCTGTACCACTATCCCGTCCCTTCTAGATTGTAAGCTCGAAAGAGCAGGGCCCTCGATCCCCTCATGTTTTGCATTGTATTGTTATTGTTCTGTCACATGTTCTGTCCCCCATTGTAATGTACAGCGCTGAGTGAACTATCGGCGCTTTATAAATACTGTATAATAATAATAATAATATCTATGTATGTTTTCACACTGAGGAGTTATGCTTGCAGTGCAAAAACTCCTGATTGCAGCATCTTTGGGGCATGTGTGGGGAGTTAAAAAAAAAAAAGGCCCCAAAAACGCCTCTTTCCATTGAAATCAATAGAAAACGCCAGAAAAACGTCTGAAAAATGCCTGAAAAGCACCTCAAAAATGCCTCTGAGAAGCGTTTTAGGTGCAGCTTTTAAGTCCTCCCATTCTAACCACGCATGCGCAGCTGTGGGAGCACGCAGCACAGCAATCGGCGGTGCGCTGTGTCCCTCGGACACAGCGGATCACCGATCAACGGAAAGAGCCGAAGATGTCGGCTCAGTCATGTGATCAGCTGTGTCCAATCACACCTGATCACATGTAAACAGGGAAATGCCGGTTATTGGCATTTCTCTCCCCACGAGCTGTCATGCTGACAGCTCAAGAGGAGAGCCGGTATTCGGCATTCCTCGGAGGGGACATGTACACTGATCATCAGTGCGCCCTGATGATCTGTGTAGCCCCAGCAGCACCACCTGTCAGTGTCCATCAGTGCCAGCTGTCAGTGCTCATCCATGCCACCTGCCAGTGCCCATCAGTGCCACATCAATGCCACATATCATTGCCCATCTGAGCTGCCTTTCAGTGTCACCCATCAGTGCCAGTCAGTGCCACCTATCAATGCCAAAAACTGTAGCTGCTGACTTTTAAAAAACAGCCACTTACTTGTCCCGTGATCCCTCGGTGTGTCCCCCCCGCAGCCCGTTTCACCAGCCATCCTGTATTCCATGAGGCTGTCATCTTCAGTGTGGGCACCTGGCTGTGACAGCTTGCGGCTTCACAGCCGGGGACTCACTGCGCATGTGCGAGTAGCGCTGCGCTTCATGAATGGTCCTGTAGTCTTCTGGGACCTGTTACGTGTCCCAAAAGACTACAGAGAGGGAGGACACCTTCTGCTTCCGATAGCCTAGGCCTGTCAAATTTGGCTACCCACCCCCCCACCGCCCCCCAAAGGTGTCAATTCTTAATGGTGAGCAGTCCTTAAAGCAGAACTTCCCCTTTTGGGTGGAGCTCCGATTTAAAGCAGAACTTCCCCTTTTTTTGGGCGGAGTTCCGCTTTAAATTGATTTTCAAATGTTTGTTCGATTTTGTTTTCAAACTCTATTTCGTTTTCTAACTCAAATTTGTTTTTGGATGAATTTCGTTTTGTTATTTCAGATTCGTTTACATTCGTTATTTTTGTCATTCGGAATTCTGATACATCCGAATCTCTGAATAACAAAAAAAATTATCTGAAATTTGATTTGGAACAAAACGAACCGCACATGTCTACTGGAAAGCTATAAAAACCTATCAAAGGATCCGAGCTTTCCCACTGCAACCAAAACTATGTAAAAGAAAAGTTTTCAGTAGACTTTTATGTTACCTCTTGTTATAGTATATAGGCTAGGTTTGACCACCACAGCTGGAGAAAGACGATGAGTGGTGGATGTAGGTAATTGCCACTTAGTGGCGAATGGCGGCTATTCTGAAATGTACCTCTGGATCAATCTGTAATTCCTCTTTCATCGCTGAAGTCTATTTTGCTCCTTAGTGCCGGCTACCCCGGCCTGATTTCACAATGAGCTTTTCTTGTGGCTTCTAACCCAGACTACTGCGTTTATTGTTAAACCTAAGATATTTCTAACTTAATTTCTCAAGTTTCAGACACTAAAGTAACCTTGTACAGGTTGCAAGGGGAGAAAAAAATCGCTTCAATTGTCTCTTACGTCTCATTAAGCCCTGCACGACTTCCAGCAATTTTTTAGCAGGAGATAAAATCAGCAATATAAGTTTTAAAAGAGATCTAGATTTGTGGAGCCAAAGCCATTCTGTACAACGGAGAGAAATACCCACAGATGTCTGATGTGCATGCTCTCGCATGATTAAATAATCTCTTAAAAGAAAATTAAGACAATGTCGCTTTGTGTTGTACCGTTGTTATCGCTGATAAACCAGAAAGGCTGTTTTTATAGATATGTCGCTGAAAATAATGACATTTTCATTAGACATGTGCAAAATGAAAAAAATTGTTTCAATTCGAAATCTTAACAAATTTTGTGTAGTTGGATTCGGTAAATTTGTTCAATTCATTTTTGGGATTTGTTGAGGTAATTCATATTCAGATTCAATTCGAAAACTTTACGGCCAAATTCAAAAAGTTGTTCACATTCGAAATTGGTTCAACCGAATTTGAAATTTGATTCAGCAAATCAGCAAATTGATTCAGCAAAATTCAAAAAGTCCTTCAAAATCGAAAAGATTTCAACAGATTCAAAAATCGAACCAAATTCAAAAAGTTAAGCTGGCAATACATATGTAGGTTTTCAAAAATATTAGTTTCAAGAATAGTCGTTTTGATTTTCAGACCGTTAAGTGGGGACAATTCAATGTTTGTTTTCAACAGCAGTGACAGAAAAATTTGAAGGGGCAGGAAGGAAAACTTTTCTCGATCAAAAACATTTTGGCCAGTGTATGTGGTTCTCGTTCATAAATTACATTCATTTTAAAATCAAATGTTAAAAGCAAAGGACAATTTTCAAATGACATTCGTCCATTCATCGAATGTGCAAAGAATTTTCATACGACTGTATGGCCAGCTTAAATCAGGGGGAAAGAAAATCGAATTTCGAATTCGATCGAAAATCTTTTCGAAATCAGATAGGAAGTTGATGGGACACTAGTAGTACAGTGTTTTTTGTGCACTGATACACTTTTACAGTGGCAAATCCTCTTTTGCACTGTTGGAGATGGTTTTTTGTGCACGCGTACACTGTGACAAATGTTGATTGGGTGCTGGTATAGCGACAGTTCTTTGATTTTCTATTCTATTTTATTGTAATCTTTTCTATTCTATTCTTTGATTTTCTATTGTCTTATACAATATTGATTATATTCTTTTCTGTTCTATTAAATTATATTCTTTTCTTTTGCATTCTATTTTATTTTTTTCTATTCTTTTATTTTTCCTCTATTCTTTTCTACTCTACTATTTTCTGTTCTATTTTATTCCTTTATTTTCTTTTCTAGAATCTACTTAGTTGTGTTCTTGTTTTCAAATTCGAGTTCCACTGAAAAAAAAAAAAAAAAAAAAAAACAGCAGCTACAAAAACTTTAGCTGCTGACTTTTAAAAAACAGGCACTTACCTGTCCCTCGATCCCATGGTGTCCCCCCCCCCGCCTGTTTCACCGGGGGCCCTGTATTCCCAGCGCCAGCATCTTCAGTGTGGGTGCCCTGCTGTGACAGCTTGCGGCTTCATAGCTGGGTGCCCTCTGCGCATGTGCAAGAAGTGCTGCACTTTGTGAATGGTCCCGTAGTCTTCTGGTACCTGTCACGTGTCCCAGAAAACTATGGGGAGGGAGGGGGGAGGACAACTTCTGCTTCCAATCGCCTAGGTGATCGCAGCGGAAATGGGAGCGAGTACCTGTCAATTTCAGGTACCCGCTCCCCAAAGGTGCCAATCCTTAACGGGGAACAGGGGTCCTTAAAGCAGAACTTTGGGCAGAGCTCCGCTTTAAATTTGTTTTTGAACGTTTGTTCGATTTTGTTTTCGAATTCAAATTTGTTTTCAATTTTGTTTTTGAATTTGTTTTCGAATTGAATTTCGGCCAAATTTCATTTTGTTATTTTGGATTCGTTTAAATTAATTATTTTTTGTAATTTGGAATTCTGATACATCCAAATCTCTGTATAACGAAAAAATTTGTCCAAAATTTGATTATGAACAAAACAAACCACACATGTCTGATTATGGATATATAAAAAAATCTACTGATATACTCAGTGCCATAATCATGCAAATATTCTTCTACGTTCTGCTCCAAAAGTGACAGAAAAATTAGGATTAATGCCCTATCATTGGGGTCAGTGGGAGGAATAGTGCTCAGATTTCAGATCAATCCCAATTCCTGTACCTTCACACCTCAGACCACCCAAATTCCTGCATCTTCACACCTCAGATCACCCCTAATCCTGCACCTTCACACCTCAGATCAACCCAATTCCTACACCATCACACCTCAGATCACCCCAATTCCTCCATCTTCACAACTCATAACAACCCAATTCCTGCACCATCACACCTCAGATCATCCCCAAATTCTACACCTTCACACCTCAGATCACCCCAATTCCTGCACCATCAGATTTCAGATCAAACCCAATTCCTGCACTTTCACAACTCAGATCACCCCAATTCCTGGACCTTCACATCTCAGATCACCCCAATACCCTGCACCTTCATACCTCAGTTAATCCCCAATTCCTGCACCTTCACACCTCAGATCTCCCAAATTCCAGCACCTTCACACCCCAGATCACCTCAATTCCTGCACCTTCACACCTCAGATGACCCAAATTCCTGCATCTTCACACCTCAGACCACCCGTAATCCTGCACCTTCACACCTCAGATCAGCCCAGTTCCTGCACCTTCACATCTCAGATTGCCCCAATCCCTGCACCTTCACCCCTCAGATCAGCCCCAAATCCTGCACCTTCACCCCTCATATCAGCCCCAACTCCTGCACCTTCACCCCTCAGATCAGCCCCAATTCCTGCACCTTTACACCTCAGATCAGCCAAGTCCCTGCACCTTCATACCTCAGGTCAGTCCAGTTCCTGTATCTTCACTCCTCAGATCAGCACCAGTTCCTGCAACTGAACACCTTAGATCACCCCAATTCTGGCACCATCACACCTCCAATCACCCCAATTTCTGTACCTTCACCCATCAGATCATCCCAATTCCTGCACCTCCATACCTTAGATTAGCCCCAATTCCTGCACTTCACCCATCAGAACACCCCAATTCCGTCACCTTCATAACTTAGATCAGCCCCAATCTTGCACCTTCACATCTCAGATCACCCAAGTTCCTGCACCTTCACATCTCAGATCACCCCAATTCTTGTACCTTCTCCCCTCAAATCACTCCAATTCTTGCACCTTCACACCTCAGATCAGCCCAATTCCTGCACCTTCACATTTCAGATCATACCAATTCCTGCACCTTCACATCTCAGATTAGCCCCAGTTCCTGCACCTTTGCACCTCAGATCAGCCCCAATTCTTGCACCTTCGAACCTCAGATCAGCCCCAATTCCTGCACCTTCGCAACTCAGATCAGCCCCAATTCCTGCACCTTCGCACCTCAGATCAGCCCCAATTCCTGCACCTTTGCACCTCAGATCAGGCCAATTCGAGCACCTTCTTACCTCAGATCAGGCCAATTCCTGCACTTTCACACCTCAAATCACCCCAATTCCTGCACCTTCACACCTCAGATCAGCCCAATTCCTGCACCTTCACATCGCAGATCACCCCAGTTGCGTTACCTTAACACCTCAGGTCACCCCAGTTCCGGCACCTTCACACCTCAGATCAACCCAATTTCTAAACCTTCATACCTCAGATCACCCCAATTCCTGCACCATCACACCACAGATCAGACTGATTCCTGCACGTCACACCTCAGATCACCCCCAATTCCTGCACCTTCACACCTCAGATCACCCCAATTTCTGCACCTTCTCACCTCAGATCACCCCAATTTCTGCACGTTCACACCTCAGATCACGACAATTAATGAATCTTCATACCTCAGATCAGGTCAATTCCTGCACCTTCACGTGCCATGTCGGGGGTTGCCAACCCCTGA